TCTTTTTTGTTATTCCAGTATTTCATATCTTTACTTGGAGCTATATCATATTTTTCTTTCCCTGCCTGAAAAGGATATGGTGAGGGAGAAAGTATCTTCTGTAATGAATATTGACTATTTTGGAGGGCAGACCTGCTAGAAATGGTAGAAGTGACAAGATTGCAAAATAATAGCTCCCTGGACATAATTACTCCGTTTCTTGGTCCTCCCCACTCCCCAGTGTTGTTTCTCTGTATCCAGACAAAGCTCGTAGGATGTGGGGAGAACCTGAGGAGAATCCTCCAGGCAGAGTAGCTAGTATCAGATCATCCTCCATCCAAAAACCACCTCAAAGGCAGAACCAAGTGCAGGCTGGTTGGGGAAGACGACCCTGATAGTGTGTCAGAGCAGGTGGTGCTGGGTAATTTCGTGGTTGCTAGAACTGTTCTCATGCTGATTTATGGGAAGCTTTGTATTTCAGAGTCTACTAGAGCAACAGTCATGGAATAGCCATAAAACGTTGCTGACACTAGAAAATGGCAGAGGCTTTCTGTATGTTTCAGTGGTATACTGGTAATCTCGACAGTGTTGGGACTGAACTCATTCCTATAAAATTTCATCTCAAACCAGTGAAAACCACAGCCGTTAGCAGAACATTGACTCTGGAGAGCATGGGATTTTAATGTATGAGCATTTTTTTTCTCTTGTCTTACGATTTTTATTGTTACTTTTTTTTTCTTCTTATACAGACAAGCGCTGATTTGGTCCAGCCGGTAGGTAAATATCCAGAAAATTCTGGATTTTTAAAAATTTAATCTGCATTATATACATGGTATATTACCTACAATAAGCTTTTTTTTTTCTTGTGGCATTGCTAGTCACAGATGTAACCTTAAGCCACTTATTTAATTTAATACTCTCTAGTTTTGTTTAACTGGTGCTACCCTACTAAAGAACTTTGTGTTTCTCATCAACTCTTACCATGATCTATTTCATCTTGTGTTTTTTTTTTTTTTCCTTTGCTGTTCTGCATACTCTAAAGCCCGACTCTTCAAAAAGTCTTTCCTTGTGTAACCTGGTCATGGAGGAAACTCCAGAGAGTGGGTTGGCCGAAGAAATTCAAAGATCTCAGATTGACCTAGGCGCATTTATTTGGGGTCCTGATGCTAGTACAGAGAGAGTCAGCCAGAAAACTACCTATGATGGGTCTCAGGAAGACTCTGCATGTCTCTCTGAAGCAGAGCAAGACATGGGATTACCCACAGGGATGTTCCCTCCTGCTGACGGGCACACTGTAGCCGAACAGGGGGAGCATGTCCCAGGGCCAGCCCCTCCATGCGGAGATGGACAACTGTCCCCAAAGCCCATGCCTGAGGCTGAATGTGCCATTGTTGCTCGTATGGAAACGGAGCAGCCTTATGACTTACCTGACTCAGAGATGCCAGCCGTGGAAACCGGTGGCCTCATCAACGAAAGTCAAGAAGATCTTCAAAAGTCAGGAGAAGAGGAAGAGAAACAGAAGACAGAAGATTCAGTGTGGGCAGGTGTGGAGACATGTGGAAAGGTAGACATTGGAGCTATTGCTATCAAGACACTAGAAGGTACAGAGGGATGTGAAGAGAAAGCGTGTGAAAGTACAGGAAGCGGGATGGTAGATCTTCTTGAGACAATAGGAAAGCGAGACCAGGAGACCTTAAACATCAGTGAAGAGGAAACTAGGAAAGATCTAAGGGTTAGGTGTAAGGAAATTGTAAAGACCAATGAAAGGTATTTTGAGAAAATTGACATATCAGAAAAAGACATGGAAGATGAATTTACTGACAAAGTGTTAGATGAGAGGATTCAAGTAATAACAAGTAATTGTGAAATTCTAGAAGGCTCTGGAGGCAAGCCTGGCAATCACACAGATTGTTTGAATCTGCCTCTCCAGACAGACTCTGAGCCTAATATTGAAGATGCCAGTCCTGAGGGATGGGATTTATCTAGAAAAGATATAAAGAAGAATTTAGTAGACCCTCCTAACCAGGCTATGATATATCATTCAGCACAGGGGGGGACAGATGCTGAAGAGATTCAGTGTGAGCCTGTGTTACATGCACCTGAAGATGATAGGGATGGAAATCAGGCTGCTTATTTATCAATGAAACATGAATTGGCAGCTCGGTCTAGGACAGATCTTAATTGTGCTCTGGAGATGAATGTAAACAGAAGAGACTGGTGTTTATGTAAGGCAGAAGATTCAATAATAGAGGGGTCTGCAAGTACAGTGACTGGGAACTGTAGTCATACCATTAACTTGCCACGAATCGCGAAAACAGACTCTTGGGGAACAGATCCAGGTCAAATCTTGCAGCCAACTTTGGATTCAGCAATGAATAATACGGATATATTGGAATTCCCTGGTAGACCAGATGGACAAGCAAGTGGATTTGCCAGTAATCTTGATTCTATTAACCACTGGCTTATCTGTGATATGGGAGGCTTAGATAAATCCTGGGAACATTTAGATACAGTTGAGAGCAAGAAAGGGCTGCAAGTGGACTTACTGGCAGACGTATGTGAGGAACAAGCCAATGATAGCTGCTGGGAACAAAGCCAAGAGACAGTTAGACTTTTGTTTCTGGGAACCTCCCAGAATGTTAGCACCAAGAGTTCTACTAGTCCCCAAGATGATGGCAACAACAACTCAGATTTATCTGAAGATGAAATTGCTAATCAGAGATATGGATTGTTGTACCAAGAAATTGGGGCTGATAAAGAAGAGGTACTTACCCAGTATGTAGTATAGACTAGACAAAGACTTCTGTAGGTTCTATTTTTCCTGATGTTTCCTGCCCACTTCATTGTCCATCACTGTCTTCTCTGAGGCCTGCCTATCTCCCTGACAGACTGTCATTCATGTACCTCTTACCTCCTGAAATCTGTGCAAACCAAACACAAATAGGTTGACCAAAGAAAGAAAGAAAGCGCCCTAGCTGGTTTGGCTCAGTGAATAGAGCATTGGCCTGTAGACTGAATGGTCCCAGGTTTGATTGCTGTCAAGGGCAATTACCCAGGTTGTGGACTCAATCCCCAGTAGGGGGCATGCAGGAGGCAGCCAAATAAATGATTCCTCTCATCATTGATATTTCTATCTCTCCATCTCCCTTCCTCTCTGAAATCAATAAAAATATATTTTAAAAAAAGAAAGAATAAGAAAAACAATGGTTATATTGGAATTAATGAAAGTCTATTTATCCATTTACTCTGTTTTTTATTTTTACTGTTCAATTATGAAAAATATGTAGAACATACTAATTTCCTGTTTCTAAGTGGTTACCCCAGTAAGTACACATGAAATGTTTCTATTGAAGCCTAAAACTGTAGAACCTAGTGATGGGTGTCATAAAAAAATCTAACAAAATGATGCGTTAGAAAAATACTAAAAATGCTTCTTCTAGATTCTATCAATATCCTGGAAAAAGAGAGCTATTTAATCCCTTATGGCTATTCTCCAGAATAATCTTCTCATTATTAAGCAAGTGGGTTTTTGTTAGCACTGAGCCATACACCAGCATTAATTGTAAAAATAGCTTTCTTTTTTTTGGTCAGCCTATTTAAATTAATACAGTTCAGCTTTTTACATTTCCTAAGCACTTACACCTCTTATATTATTTTAAAAATTATGGTGGTCATTATTTTCAAACTTATCTAATGGGCATTCACTGATCCTACAAAATCGATGAAAAAAATAATGTACTCTGATTTCTATTTCTGTTTAGGCCTCTGATGGTTCATTTAATGGATTCACCCAGGTAAGTAATCAACTTGCTGGCAAAATCCATCTGTTGAGAATAATGCAAATTTTTAAAACAAGGACCTTAGTGTCACTGGTATGGCATAATTATTGTGTCAGCACAAAATTCCACTACTTACAAATTCAGTAATGGAAACAGTAGTATTTTCAACATTGTACAGGTGTTTTGACTATTAAATGGGATATGTCCAGCAGTCTAGCACATATTGAGTCTTCCATGATTGTAGTTAGCTATTATTAATATGATTAGCTATACTGTGGGCTCCTGCCTTCTACTGATTCCTCTACTAGGAACTAGAAGTTGGCCTGATCTGAGAGATCCACTAGGTTCAACTGTTTGAAAAGAGGAGATGGGATCCTTTTGAACTGATGAAATTGCTTTTTAGAAAATATGATACATTTTAGGAGCCTTTTTATAAAGATTCATGCCAGGAGCCAGTCCATCCTTGCTGTTTCAAGGGACCTGGCATATATGGCATACTGTTCTTAATATGGTTGCTCACCTTCTTGGCGTTGTGTTTTAACCAAGGTCACCTCTCTGAGAAAGGTTGTTTCCCCAGGTAGGGATTTTCCCCTGAAGTTAGGGAGGGAATAAAACCTCTTAACCCCTTCCCCAGCAGAA